ACAAGAGAGACGGGACTTGCGACAGAAAAGCTGATCAGCTGATCATTGATCAGTTTCACGATTGAAGTAGCAACAGGAGAGGGAGGGGGAGAGAATAAGAGAAGAAAAGGCAGCTGACAGCGTAAAGACGCAGAATAACTCCAGCTTTGTGTCTTTTTCCATTCTAGATGAAGTACGGGACAAACTGCGTTCCTTCTCAGCTCAATACGAAATGCGTAATATTTTCTCTAAATGACGGATGTTTCTATCCCAAAGTTCCAAATGGAAGATTTAGCAAATGAGGCAAAGTAACCAAGTGTTTTGATTGTGTTAGGTGCAAATTTGCCAGAGGCACAAACAAGGGTTCAGTTTTTTTATACTTGTTGGTTTTGGAAAAAGATACCAGCCATCTAACTTTTAGAGTCTAATCACCTATTCAGGATAATTTCCTTTTTCAGCTTAGTAACATCCTAGGACTCAAAACAGATATAAACTGAAAGTCATCTGCATAGCAGTGATAAGAAATGTCCTTAAAGATGTTCAAAATTTGCTGAAGAGGGAACAGATAACAGAAACAGATACCCCAAACAGAACCTTGTGGCACATCATATATAAGAGAACTGGAAGAAGACCTGGACTTAGAAATAGCCTAAGCAGACCCAGATACACTCATCTAATATCTCAGCCTATTGAACAAAACACGATGGTCAACAGTATTAAAAGCAGAGGTAGCTTCTAAGCTCAGCAAAACAGAACATTCTCCATTATCAGTTCACATCAAATGTCACTTAAGAGCTGTTTCAGTGGAATAAGCTCTACAAAGGCCAGATTGAAACTAATCAAGAATACTGTACTTGTCCAAGACAGCTATTAGCTGGTTAGCCACAACTTTTTCGAAGATCTTCACAATAAATGGGAACATTTAACTCTTATTTACTCACCGAAAGGCACAAAGCCATCATTTAACAAAGAAAGAGGCCTTTTCCACACCGCATGCAAAATGTGACACCATGCTGGTTGAAAGCAAAACAAAATCTGCATAGCAGAAATGTAGTCACACATGTTTTTCAGGTTTGTCAGCCTGTGACCTAAGCATCAAATGACAGCCTCTGTAGAATTAGAAACATCCTGTCTCATTCTCAATGGTGCTGAAAAACTAGTTCACACATTTATTACTTGTAGGCTGGACTACTGCAATTCATTATTATCAGGATGTCCTAAAAATTCCATGAAAAGCCTTAAGTTGATCCAAAATGTGGTAGGAAGGCTCTTGGCAGGAGCTAGTTATCCAAAGCTTCCGGTTCAAAAAAACACAGATGATTTTGGTAGCTCCACTGAGGCATCGGGGATTTGCAAATGGAGCCAGGATTCAGTTACAATTAGTAGACAATAACCCACAGAGCACCCAGTGGTTTCACAATCGCAGGTGGGATACTTTGGGTCCTATCCAATATAAAGTTCATGCTGAGGCCAATTTCTCTCAGTTCCTGCTGACTGAAAGTGATCAGTGTGTTGCACTAAAAAAGCATAAAAAATGCAAAAGCACAAAAGTGTGCATAGCAGCTGGGAGCGCTGTGCTGCAGATGCTGCTTATGTTTGGAGAAAAAAGGGAGAGGTGTGCAACTGAAAGAACACCATCCAGCAGTGAAACTTGGAGATACTTCAGTGCATCCAGAACTGGGAATTTCATCAAAGTGAAGGAATTATGAAGAAAAAAAGACACTTGTGCAAAACTGGGTCTGGGTTGTCACTTTGTCTTCCAACACAACAACGACCCAAAACATATTTTGCTCCTAGTAAATAACTCCAGAAGACCAAAGTGAACAAAGTACTGTGTGTTCTGCGCAAAGCTCTCACTTGAATCTGATTTAAAATCTGTGATCTGACCTGAACACCAAGGTCCATGCAACAACACCATCAAATCTGGAGGAGATTGAGAGATTTGCCAATAAAAAAAGGGCTGGAACTGCCCAGGAGACATGTGTGAGACTTGCTGAAAACAATAATCAATGATTACCTAGCAAAAATGAGACACAAATCCTTAATTATGTTAGAATTTGTAATAAACATCCATCCATCTTCATCCGCTTATTCGGGGCTGGGTTGCAGGGGCAGCGGCCTAAACAGCCACTTCTTCTAGCTTGTCCGAGGGAACACCAAGGCCAGCTGAGAGACATAATCCCTCCAGCTCATCCACGCCTTTGTAACGTCAAGGCTTGATTACTGCAATTCACTTTATTGTGGTCTCCACTCTTCCCTTTTACATAGATTACAGACAGTTCAGAATGCTGCAGCACGCATTCTAACTAAAACCAAGAAGTTTGCCCACATTACTCCTGTCCTTGCTGATCTGCACTGGCTGCCTGTCAAATATCGTATTTGTCATGGTCCCCATGCCTGCTCGGCTGGCCCTGTGTGGCTACATGTTATGTTTTGTCTTTTTTCTCTCTCCTCTCTCTCTGCTCGCTGCCTGGGCGGAGCTCATTGTGAGCTCCCGGCCTCCACCACCTGTAGGCAATCACCTGTGGCTCCTCACCTTGTTTGCTCCCGCTACTTAAGGCAGTGACTGAGAGCACCTCGCCGCTGGACTATTGAGTAACGCTCGTCAGTGCTACTTTAGCCTCAGCCAGTTTTGACCTCTGTCCGTGAAAGTTCCGTGCTAACTCTTGTTCTCTGTATGCAGATTTCTCGTGCTTGGTTTGGTGACTCTGGACGCTTTTCCCGACCCCTCTCCGCACCCCTGGGAACCCTGGCCCCTCTCTCCTTCACCTGTATATAGTGCACCTGGAGTGTGTAAATAAACCTGTTTTTCTGAGATTTCAGTCTGCGCCGAGTCCTCCCTGCTCCTCCGTGACAATATTCAATTTAAAATTTTGTTGTTTACTTTTAAAATTACCAATAACACTGCACCAAGCTATCTTAAGGAACTTTTAAACCCATATGCTCCTGCTAGGGCTTTAAGGTCATCCTCACAGTTACTGTTGGTTTAGCCCAGATCTCGACTGAAATCTAGAGGTGATCGATCGTTTGCTCTAGTTGCACCGGAGCTGTGGAACAATCTCCCGATTGGCATCCGGGCGTCTGATTCTATTCATTCTTTTAAATCACGGCTAAAAACATATCTTTTTAAACTTGCCTTTTCTACCAGTTAAATGCTGGCTTGCTTGCAGTGACCTATTGACCTATTGTATTGTATTGTATTAAATTCTCTGCTATCTTTCCATTATTGGTGTCTTTTATCATGGTGGTACAGTCTTACCTTGCTATAACCTATGTGCTGCAGTTTACTCTTATTGGTGGCTTTTATCTGTGAACATAATCTGTTACTTTTATGTATTTGATGTTAATGTGTGAACTGTTTTATTTTTTATTGTTTTATGTAAAGCACTTTGGTATGCCCAAGGCTTTTAAATGTGCTCTATAAATAAAGATTGTTGTTGTTGTTGTTGTAGCGTGTCCTGGGTCTGCCCCAGACCCTCCTCCTGGTGGGACATGCCCGGAACACCTCACCAAAAGAGGCACCCAGGAGGCATCCTTATGAGATGCCCAAACCACCTCAACTGGCTCCTGTAATAAACATGATTCTGATAAAGCAAATAAATATTAGCAAGCTCCACATAGAAGAATTATTTACTCTACTCTCTAAGGATCTGTGTGCCATCACAGATAGGACAAAGTCTCTTTCTCCAAATCATGTCTTTAGTTCTAAGGGCTAAAAGATCTTAATATTCTGTGACATGGGACTAAAATTCACTGGTAATATGCCTAAAATATATACATGTGAAACACTAGAAGTTTGTGTAATGCATGGAGCATTTCTGTTTCACAACACTGAAAATCTGAGCAGCTTGACAGCGTTAGAGTCATCATATATCACATGTGAAGCCTCATAGTGTACCACAGATGGTTTTACAAGCACAGAGGTGGCTTTTAGCTTTAAAAAGAAAGAGGTTCATGCTGCATGAGGCTTAGGATTACCGCCAGGAAGTAATGGTATATTACCATCGCTGGTATGGAGTATGGGCCAAGATGTTATAAAAAAACAAAACAACAAAACCCCCCACACACATAAGGGCCCCAAAGGGCAACATTGATCTCTCTGTTCAACTATAGTAAGTGTAGGTTGTCAGTCTGCTGTCAGTACAACTGCGTTATCAATATCCTGGATGTCCAAGTCCATTCAGTTTGGATTTCTCCAGTTTCCTCCTTTCAGTGTGGGAGGAACTGGGTTTTTTTTGTATATTAAAAGCTGCTACTCCTCCACTGGGATTTGGCCAAAAACAGTGTTTTACTTCTTGTTTAGTCACACTCACTTGTAATTGTCAAATGACTTTAAGCTAACGTCATTTCAAGATGGAAATTACCTAACACACCACAGGGCAGAAGTGATACCAGTGTATTACAAGGCATCATATGAGTAGTGTTCATGTTTGTGTGTTTAGCAGTGATCTCATTTATTTTCAGTTTCAGTTTCACCGATTCTAATTTCAGCTACTGTTCATGCTCTAGTGGTGAGTCACCGAGTCCGGTGCTTTTTCATTCTGCCGTGAAAATACACAGCAGAAAGTCCGGGGACTTTCTGCTGTGTGTGTGTATATATATATATTTTTTTTATATAGTACAAAAATTCAAGACCTCCCTGACTTACATGACAAAAGACATAAAAGTAAAAGTATTTCTGGCGTCTTCTTAACCTACTCGGGTATATCAAACAACACACAAACACACACAAAACAGGTTCCTTTGCTTTACCCATTTAACATAAAATAGTTCCCTTTTATTTATTTATTTTAAAAAAAGGTAAAGTGGGAAGCCCAACACTGAAAATCAGTCACGAGCATGTCTCGGTTTCCTCACCCAGCTGGTGAGTTATTTGTATTTTACGCTAACTGGCATTTAGTTATAAGAAATATTAGTACTGCATTAGTCTGTATTGTATTTTTGTGCCAAATCAACATCAGCACTCTAACCTGTCTAACCATGCTAGGAGGTATTCCTACTACGTTATTAGCGAAGCTTACCTTGAACCAGCGTTCCAGCGTTGACCACAAACAGCAAAAGTAAAGCGACATTATCCATCGTTTTGAAAAAAGGGGAAAAGATTGTGGGGTTGGTGGATGACCAGCAAGACAAGTAATGACCAGTGGAAACCAAACCAAGGTTTACAAATATGGTCGGCAGATTTCTCACTGCTGTTCACAACAGTTTAAGAGTGAAAAGTCCAGCGAAATGCGTTTTGAACTGGGAGGCCGGGCAGGTGGAATACGGAAAAGCTGACGAAAGGACAGGGGGAGGAGGAGGAGGAGACTCTTAGGGGATTTTGCTTCATTGTTCAAGGTTCAAGATTCTTTATTTGTCACATGCATAGTTATACAAGTATAACACACAGTGAAATGTAGCCTGACACGCTCCTCGACATGTGCAAAAAATTGTGGGGGGGGGGTGTAGAGGAAGAACATTAAATATATATATAGTATATACATTGGGTGAATGTGCAGTAGTAGCAGCAAGCAGGTGAATTCTGTACATTAATATGAATAGACATCTGACTATTTTACAGGATAGACGATATAAACATATTTAAAATTAAAGGAATTTGAAATGTACATTGTGCATTGTATTGAATGCATTGTATTGAAATGTACATTGTTGACTGTAACACGATCTGATATCCTCATGTCGGTGTTGTTCCCACGTCATCATAATAAATGTTGTTCCAGGTTAAACATTGCAAGTGAACAATCACTTTGTTGTGACGTTATACTTTTTGCGACTTCGGAAAAAAACGCCTTAAAAAAATCTACTTAACTTGCGAGAAAGCGTCTCTGTCCGCCGATCCAGCAATTTGAATTTTTTGCATTTCAGGATAGTGTTCTTTATTAAATGGTAAGCATTATACATATTGTCCTTGCAACATTGGAATTTCATAAATGAATGAATGAGCCGTCATTTGTGAGCCGCGGTCACGCCAGCCGCTTCTCTCCGCGCTCTTACACCAGTCTTTACGGTAAGCAGCCTTTTCGCTTGAAAGCCTAGACCCGCGCGCACATGCATGCGCGCACACAAATTACAATGGAACAGCCTAAATTTCAGAAATTCATCAAAAATCATCCATAGTAGTTGAGGTCTAACTTTCAACAGATTCCTTCTCTGGGACACCTACTGTACCTGTGTGCCAGGTTTCATCCAGATTTACTGTAAAATTCCTCAGAAATTAAAGGAAACTTATATTCAACACAATACAGTCAATACACTACAATTATGTCAATTTTCAAAAATTCATTAAAAATCATCCTTAATATTTGAGGTCTACCTTTCAACACATCCCTCCTCTGGGACACCTAATGTACCTGTGTGCCAAGTTTCATCCAGATTTACTGTAAAATTCCTCAAAAATTAAAGGATATTTTTATTCAAGTCAATACAGCCAATACACTACAATTATGTCAATTTCAAAGATTCATTAAAAATCATCCTTAGTAGTTGAGGTCCAACTTTCAACACATCCCTCCTCTGGGACACCTACTGTACCTGTGTGCCAGGTTTCAGCCAGATTTACTGTAAAATTCCTCAGAAATTACAAGAAACTCATATTCAACGCAATAAAGCCAATACACTACAATTATGGAAATTTCAGAAATTCATTAAAAATCATCCTTAGTAGTTGAGGTCCAACTTTCAACACATCCCTCCTCTGGGACACCTACTGTACCTCTGTACCAAATATCATCCAGATTTACTGTAATAGTACTCAAAAATTAAAGGACATGTATATTGAATTCAATACACTTTCAACACAGTCTTACTCTGGGCGACCTACTGTACCTCTGGGCCAAGTTACATCTCAATTCACTGTAATCTTTATCAAAAATTGAAAGAACAATTATATGTCAATGCTGGCTGTGTGCCTTTCGAAGTGACACTAAGTAACAGAACCCAGGCACATCAGGGAATAATCCAAAAGGCGGATTTATTAAACAAAACCAACATACAAAACATCCCTAACCCATACTACATAACCTAAAAAGAAACAAAGGGACACTTAGAAGCACAAGAAAACAATACTGAAAGGGCAAGAGACACAGCCCAAACATAATCCACAACTAAAACACCAAAAGAACAAGTCATCCCACATAGCAGATGGGTCTTGCCTGGATCTGGTGTCAAGCCGGCACTGCTGGCTGACTTCTGGCATGGTAAGATGGCACTGTTTATGTGATGGCATGCCACATCTGGCCTGATTGGGTGAATGTGACATCGTTGTATAGAGCACTTTGAGTAATATGGGTGAGTAAAAAAGCGCTATATAAGAATCAGTCCATTCACTGTCTGAACAGAGTTTCGTCATGTTACTTTTGCACTATTATGTTCCAGCACATGTTGTTATTACATGGCTTACATGGCTAAGGTACACATTAGGCTGACATCAGGGGCGAGGATTGAAACTGTTCTGGGCCAGCACAGGGCCAGCAGTGTGTCTGCAACTAGCCTTGTGCTGGCTCATGTGTGGGCCACCTCCGGGTAAACCAGATCTGGGCCACCATAGGGCCGTCATTCTTTGCGTTACGCAGGCCATGTGTGGGACAGATCCGGGCCATACAAATTTTGCTATGTGGGAGGAATTATGTAAAAATAGAAACATCATAAAAATGAAAATGAACATCAGTATGGCCATCATTATTTGCTTGGAAAGTCTAAAGTTCCATGGCTTTGAACAGCTAGAGAACGTAATGCCCAGCTTAGAGTGACTAAAAGTAACTTCTTTTTGTCACGGTTTGCCGGGGCAAGCCGTGT